GATGCTCAAGTTTTTATATGGAGTTAGCTAATATGATTAGGAATCAGCATATAAGGAGTTGTTTAGGAGTAAGAAACATTAGAGAGAAGCTTATGGAAATAGACTCAGATGACTTGAGCATGTGGCTAGAAGAGGGAAGATGAATTGGTTAGATAAAAGCTAGGCTCAAGAAAAGTTGGAAATTAGCAATTAGGAAAGATTTAAAGGAGTTATAGTTAAATGAGGGGTGAGTGCAAAATAGGATAGTTTGGAGGGTTGTACATCAAGATCCAATTAGAGGAGAAAGTATTTTTTACACATTCATCTTTTGTGTATCATTATGTATCTGTGCACAATCTTACATTTCTAGTGTTTATATTTAATTATGAAATTAAGTATCATTAATTTCATAAGTATTTATGAATATATTTCATAATTATTTGATATGATAATAAAAATTAACATAATTATATAATTATTTAATTATAAAATGTATTATCAGTATATTATAAAAATATAAATGTGCTCTTTTGTAGCATTTATAGTTTTAATATGTCAATATCAATTTTGCTCTAAAATATAGTGTATAGTTTAAAAAATTATTATTATTACGTTTTACACAAATATATTTATATATTCTTTTAAATTTCCTCTAAACTCCTCTAAAGAAGACCAGAAGCATAAGATCAAGTCTTATTAGTAAAGAATATGTATTATTTTTTATTTTCTCAAAGTTGTATTTGATTATATTAATAAATTCTCTTTTTTAAATCTTGTACATCATTTTAGCACAAAATAAATTAATTTTCTGCAGAAAATATTGTAAAATACTCATTCATAATTTTTTTTTTAGATTTTAATTGTAGATATTGTTATTAGTGTTGATTTTTTAAGTGTTTTTCTTAAATGTTCACACATTTCACTGATTTTATAGTTATTAATTAATTATATAAGCTATACCATTAATATTGGCCTTATTCAAAACACAAAACAAATTTTAATGATATAACTTAATCCTTCTTAAAAGTTATTATTTGTGGATAATCTCATTATTATTCGAATTAGATTTTTTTAAAAGTTGTGAATATTTTTCATAAAAATTGTAAATTTGAAAATACAAAATGTACAATATTTGAAAACTGTTATTTATTATTATATTATTAGAAATTAAAGCATTTATTATTATTAGAAAGAAATTTAAATAAATAAAAAATTCTGTTTTAAAGTCTACTATTGGCTGATTTTTTCAATAATTTGAACTTTCATTTCAAATTAAAAGTTTCTAAATATATTTATTATTTTAAATTTAAATTACTTTTTTTGTTGTTTTGAAGATTACAAATTATTAAAAGTGTCTTCAGTTTTTTTTTTTTTTTTTAAACTCAAATTTCATTTCCATTTTCCTATTTCCTTTTCTATTCTGGATTTTGATTTTGTCCTCTTCCTTAAAAAAATTCAAAAATAATTAAAAAGTTTTTTGTTATTAATGAAAAAAATTAATGAAATTGTAAACTTGTTAAGTATTAATCTGTATTTATTCAATTATAATTACAATTAAGCATATAAATTATATTTGTAAATTGTATGTAGAATCTTTCTTCTGACTCCAAAAATGTGTAATTAAAAATTCATGTTTTTCTTAGTCTTGAAATTTATAATTTTATAATTTAAAAGGAAAAAAAACATGGATTTTTGTATTTATTAATTATTTATTCCAATTTAAATTGCTTAAAAAAGAAAGAATTTTTCTAAAAAATTACATTCAAGCTACAAAAGAGAAATGTAACTGGTAGTATGGATTTAGAATAATTTTGAATTAGCTGCATACAAAATTCAACTTTATGCTCACATAACAAGAAAAATAAACTAAATTGCTTTTTTAAATGAATATATTAATAATATATTAAAAATTATATTGGTTAAAAAATAGAGCATTTAGTATTCTTGAAGTTCCAATTAAATTTCACCATTAACTAAGGGCACAATTCATTATAATTAAGTGCAGATTATTATTATAAATATAACTTGTTTAACATTGAGTATAGCTAATTAAATTAATTTTAATGTTTTCTTTCCTGTCGTCATTTATTATAAAGTTTAATTTATATGCTATAAAAACTCGAAATTTGTCAGTGAATTTTAAAACAGTGAAACACATTAAATATAGATGAGAAAGAATTTGCAAGTATCCTGGATATCAATGATATTGTAATTGATACTAGAAACATTGATTTTAAATTCATAATAATCCGAAGCTTAAATTTAAAGTAGTTCGATTTTTGTGATGCATTAGACATTACATAAGATATATTTTATTTAAAACACACTTTTCACTGTTTATTCCACTTCAACTGCAAAATATGACATAAAACACTAGAAATAATTGAAACCTTCTAAAAGATTTTTAAAACTATGTAGAAAAATAATGCATGATTTCAGTTTTAGTTACAAATATATACTAGATAAAATAAAATATAAATTCTAAATACAAACAATTTGTGTAAGGATTTAATTCACTAAAGGATTAGGTGTATATGAATAAAAGTTTTTTCAAAAATTCTTAGTACATTAGGCATTCTAACTCCAAAACAATTGACAATTACAAGAAAATTATTCTTGAAATTGTTATCAACTTGCAAGTTTTCCCAACTTTATTGATCTTTAATGAAATTACACAATTAAAATTGATGTATTGTTAGCTATGTTTTGTAATTCAACACTTAGACTTTACACTTCCTCTTCTTATTAATATACACTATTAAATACAATATGATTTAGAATAATCTATCCTCAGACTCAACAGAATGGACAATATGTACTTTATTTGACAAAATATGAACTATTACAGAATTCCATTCAGTAGAAGTTAAACTTGTTATTTGTACCAAAGTTTGAATAAGTAGATTCTATTTTAGGATTAAAAATCTATCAAATTATCCCTCAGTTATTTTAATGGAAAGAGAGGCAAAAAAATTGAAAAAAAAAAAATCAGTTTCCAATATCCAGGCAATTTTATTTTCAACCTGTAATTGTTTTACAGTTATTTTAGATATGGTTTCAATGATGGATGTTCAATATTGACTGGATGTGACATCTGACATTATTAACAAGTAGCTCAACTGAAATCTGAAATTTTGAATTTATTCATTTAGTTAAAATTTTTTAATATTGATATTAAAAGAATTTATATTGTTGAACTATAATAATGCTTAAAACAACTCAGTGAAATTAATTGCTGAAAAAATTTCAAAATCAAGCAATAACTCAAATAATTATTAAATTAATCTAAATTGAATTGCATGTTAATTGCATTGAAATTATTTAAAATTATATATGGGAACCTTGTGTCTATTGATTACATCTTAAACTCTCAGACAGTAGGAACATCTTACAAAGTATTTTGTCATTGTACAGTTCAAATCCAATGATTTTTCATGGACAGTTCCGAGTTTGAATGTCGTTCCTAATCTATTATTACTGACTATCACTATTGAAGCTCAGGCATCCAAGAATTCTCAAGAAAGTGATATATAAAGAATTTTTGTTTAACGTTTTAAAAAAATGATTTTCAATAAAGTATAAAATTTTAAAAGTGTTTAAGTAATATTAATGATCAGGTGGTTGTAAATTAATTTTTAAAACATTCTTTTAAATGAGATGAACGTTGGAAAAATACATTGAAAAAGTGAGTTTTATATAAAATATAATTTTATTTTTGGACTTTTTGTAATTTAATTATGAAGATACAGTTAAAATATTAATTATTGTTCTCTCTCTCTTCACTCATGTTGGCTAACTATATTGAGAGCAGGCTGGTACTTAATGGGTATAATTGTAATTCGGCAATAGATCCTTAATGTGCTGATTCCTCTTATTAACTAACTAACTATAACTCATTTATGATTAAGCTGACATTCTCGATTATGTGCTAATCTTTTTTCCCACTTTTCTTTGATTCATTTATCATTCTGTTGATTTAATATATAATTTTGTTGTTATAACATGTACGGTACTTGTCTTGCAATAAGTGAAAGTCTAGCAAATTTTTTAAAAATTTGATCCAATAAATAATTTGCGAAAGCATTTAAACGCATAATTTAATTTATGCCAAAATTAAAATTAAGTATAATTATCACGAAATTATTTATGTTTGTAAAGTATTTGAAAATTGTCATTAATTAGTCACAAATTGATGTTTTATAGAGAATCGCGCAATATTCGATTACAGAAAGTTACAATATGAACGTATTTATCATTAAAAAAAAATTATTATTTATTTAATTGTAATTGGTTGCATTATCAATTAAATTTGAGCACCCCTATTTTCAAAAGTGGATTTCTCCCACGTGACGTCATCATATTCTTTTCTAGTCTCCTCTTCGCGTGAACGGACAGTAATGTAATGATTATTTATATAATTTACGTTCTTCTTAAGTTTTTATATTTTTATTTGCGTAATTTTCTGAAGTATTATATTATATCTAAGTATTTATTTGTATTACGTATACATTGAATATTTTTTCCGAATTTAATACCATGATATATTAAAAATAAATAAATAACCTAAACATGTGGTCTACTCCTTTCAAAATCTCATACAAAACTATTTGAAGTATTCATTTATCTATTCAAACGTTTTATGGCATTCGTTTTCGTTCATTATTTTCAATTTTCTATTTTTATAGTATGTAAGCTTTATTATATTTAAACTAAATTGTTCATTGTTAAAGGAAAAATATCCACTTATTTTTAATTTAGCATTAAATATTTTCTTAATTCGATTTAGAAACTGAAAGTTTATAATATTTAGTAAATTGGTTTTTGGCATGTCTCAACTGTTTGCTAAAGAACCGAAAATAACTGGAAAAAATTTGTGTTATTTTATGCTGAAACTTGTTTGAATTATTTAATCATTTGTTATATTATTTCATTGAAATAATTTCTTTTTAAAACTACTGAAAAACTTTGGAGTCATAGACTGGATTGTATAGTCTAATTGCCAGTCCATATAATTTCAATTATCAGAAAGGTGCCATTTCGATCTTGTCTGGTCTGAACTCTAATTTATTACCCTTGCTGGTTAATCTTTCATACTGAAACTGTTTGGCCAAAACAGTTTTCCACATCTTTGCACACAAATGATTTATTGTATACGTGANAATACTATATAAATATAAAATATTTATTTTAATAAATGAAAATTAAGAAATTTTATATTTGAAAGAGTTTCTCTGTATAATTTTTTCGAATTTTTTTTGAATAGAAAAAAAGGTTATTTTTCAAGAGTATCGAATTATTTTATAAATTCTCGCTTGGCTTGTCATAAAATAGTTAAGGAGAGTGCAAACGTGTATTGAATTATTCATGATTTTTCAACAGGAAATTAAACAATTTCGTTATAAAATTTATAGTGCAAAAAACCATGCATTTATATTATTGATTTTCTTTTTTAGATTTTGTGTAAACAAATATTTTTATATAAAATTAATAATTTCTAAGTGTTACAGATGTTTCGAATGTTTACCATACAAAGACTTTCCCTTCATGGCATTATATAAAGGAGTAATTTGAGAAAAACTAAATGGATAATTTTCCTTACAGTTCTTCAATATGTATGGAGAAATATGGTTATAATCCTTTTTACAGTGAACCCTTAACATAGGAATATCTACAGTCAAGTCATTATCATTCAATCTTGCGTTAAATTATTGATTCAAAATGTATTTAAATAGTTTTTAACATAAAGAAAATCAAGTTTTATTGAATATTTACTAGTTGATTTGACGTTTTAGCATATTAAATCTTATAGAAGAGGGCATGCATGGATTAAGTTAAGGTCTCATCTTTCAATGAGCTGAAAGGTAATACAATAGTTTCTATTTAACAAGATGTTAACAATTTATTATGGAATTTATAATAAATTTTTTTGTTATATTATTGATTTTATGCTTGTATAAATGTATTTATATATATACGATGTGAACGTGTTTATTATTGTATTCAGTTGACATTTAAAGATGTTGGATTACATACAAGATGTCAGCTAAACAGGAATTGTGTGGCTAAGCATCCTTAATGCAGGCTTACCTGTGAGTTACGTAAGATGTTGAAATCATTCGATAAAGAATTAAATTAACAATTAAAAGGAAATTTTGTGGAGAAGCATCCTGAAGAATAGGATCATCTGTTAGGGATCAAAGATGCCGAAATAATTTAAAGGGAATAATTTATTACAGAATTTAAACGAGTCTCGTGTTAAATTATCGATTTTAGGCTTGTGTAAATTGTTTTTTTACCATAAAATTGCAAATTTTTAATGTGTGAGGCGTGAATATGTTATGTACGGTACGTCGGGTTGACATTTGAAGAAATTGGGTTATATACAAGAGTGTATTTAAGTGGAAGAGTATTGATAAATATCCTTAAGGTAGGCTTACCTGTAAGTGAGCGTAAGGTGCTCAGAGGTGATACAATATCTTCCATTAAATGGCGATTTCTCTGAAAGAATAAATGTAAGTAAGTAACGTCGTCGAGATGCAACAGTAGCTAACTTATAAAACGCCATCTATCGATTGATTTCGCCTCCAGAGGGAGCTAACGAGTCCTAAGGTTAGAAGGCGCCACGAGTGCCAGACAAACAATTTCGAGTACCGTTACCATGGCGACCCAGAAGGATGAATGATATTTGTATCCGGCTATATTTATCACTACATTCAATAATTTTCGCTCGCTTCATAATATATATATATAAAGTTTCAAACTCTCTCCGCCCTGTGGGCACTTAAGAGGGCCTCTTTTAGCAAGCCCATTATGGGTTCGGCCAGGCCCACAATTGGGTGGTCAGGTGGTGAGGATAGATTTTTATTATTTGAAATAAATGGTTATAAAAGTTTCAATCCTATAAAAATTACGCATAGGAATTAAATCATTTTTTTTTTAAATGCCATCAATTAAGAAAGAAAACAAATTACTGTAAAATAATTAGATTTATATTTGTTAGTCGGATTATTTATTTGTTATCGCTGCCATGCAGTAATGTTTAGGGTTTATTAAAGTGGTTACAGGATTAGAAACAACAGCTTTGGCTTATAAATTGGAATTGTTGCTTCTGTAGATTAATTCAATAACAGGAGAAGATATCAAACTCGAAATCTAAAGGGATAAAGCCGAGTCTAGTCGTCGAAGGTACAAATCGTTTCAAAATTCTTCGATAATTCTAGATATAGATCTTTTTTTCTTTCTTTCTTTTTATTTTTCGATCTAATGCTCTGCAACTTGTAACAAATCCCAGTTGGATTTAAATCCACAGAGTATTTTATCCAATCAATAAAATCATTTTTGATAGAAAATTCGTTTGATTATAATTATGTTAGAGTGAATTGAAGAAAAAAAACAGTAATNATAAATTTAATATTTATTCAGCCGCGTTTTTAAATATTCATTAAATTAAATATTATATTATTATGTTTTACTCCTACAATAATATTAATTTTATATTCCTAAAATTATTGTTATATTTTTTTAAAATACTTACTTCCCATAGGAGTTGAAAGTCCCTCTGTTGAATCCTTACAAGTTCGCAATGCTCGTTTGTAACAACTGTGGCAATGTGAGGTCTGTTGTCTAACACAGATTCCCCAAATGCTGTTCCTATCCCAAGAGTGCATAATGTTACCCCGTCCTGTAAAAAAAAAACCACATAAAAAACCACTTTAGTACAGTGTTTTGTTAGAATGGCTCGAAAATGGCGGTTCATTACTGTGTTTCTTTCTTCACAGTTAAACATAGAAAAAGTACACAGTAAATGTGAATATCGATCTAGTTTTTTCTCCTTTCATCTGTTATTAGAAAGATGAACCGTGATCAATCATTTGGATGTAACACAGTTGAAAGAAAACACCATTATTATTTTACACCAATTACTTTCTTCTGTTCGGAGTTTTTTTAATGCGAGTTTATCTTAATTAGAATTAATTAAAAATTTATTCTGAGATAAGATAGTACGTTAAATTAATTGTCTTTTTTATACATATATATACGAATGTTTTCGCTTAATCGTTATAGCTACAGAATGACAACTATGATAAGTTTAATGGAGATTTCGGAATTTAAGTCATTATAGACATATGGTTAATAATGAATTATCTGTAAGCGAATTGCGGAAAGCTTTGCAAATGGAGAAAGATACATTGTTGAATGTTCGGAGATGTGATAAGGATGCTCTAAGAATGTAAGCATGTTGAATTCGTGCAATGATGAATGCTTTTAAAATACAACATTATTTACTGACGCAATACTTAATGTTCTAAAACGCATTAATTTTGAATTGGTACAGTAATGAATAATCTAAGAATGCAAAAATGTTGGATTATGAATGCTCTATTGTTGCATTCTTAAAGCATTCACGTTATCGTATTCTTAGAGCGTTCACTATCGCATCTTTATCCATTATCTTTTATTTTTAAAAATGCAACGGGGAATGCTCTAGAAACAAGAATAAATAATAAAAACAGTAAAACAAAAATAAATAATAGACAAAGCAAAACACAATGTTCTATTTTTAACAAAAAGGATTTGTATATAAAATTCTCCATCATAAAACCTGTTTTTTTGTTTAAAAAAATTCAAACTTTCCAAAACAAACTAAGCAATATAAATACACTTCTAGTAGATTTAAGCATTTACACTTTAAAATTTCAAATAAAACTAATCTTCTGTACTGTTTTTATTTTTGGAAACGACAATTCCAAAAACACATCTAGAATCAACCTGTTCCAAAATGTATCACACGAATCGGATTTATACATTTTTGAAATCATCTGTTCATGATGTTTCTTATATATTTTCAGAATTCTGAAAATGTATAAAGAATTCTTAACTTTACAAAAAAGTAAGCAAGTCATCTATCTTAAAGAAAATCTGTATTTTTGTCGAAATACTTGCTTTTCACTTTCTAAAAAAATCGATAACATTCTTTAATAATTTAGCACGCCTTTCATATCACAAACATTTGCTATTATTGATGGTGTCACCATAAATATCAACAAATAAAACTGGGCTAAACCTCTTATAAACGACTCACGAAGGAAAGATCAGTTAAAGTTATAAAAGAACAAGAAGAAAAAAAAACGAAAACTTCAATAAAGAACTTACGGAAATGTTTATCAGGGCTAAAAGCTGTCTCAGAATTTTACTGTTCGGCAACCATTGCCAATTGTAAATCCATTTTGCTACGAAGAATATGGAAATTCATCAATTTCTTTTAAAAACACAGCGAAATTCTGTTACGTTTCTGTCGATTTAAATTTTCAAAAAAAAATAATAATAATAATAACACGAACCATACTACAAATATATTACACAGACAGTATTGGAAAACAACACGCACAAAATGTACTACGACAGAGCCATAATCACAGATAAAACAATTTATCACAACAGACCAGACATCACACTCATTGACAAACACAATAAAATCACATACATTATAGACATAGCCATTCCAAACACTCACAATATACAAAACACATGCACTGAAAAAATTAGCAAGTACACAGAACTTGCCCAGGAAATAAGGCATCTGTGGAGGATGGATAGGGTGCTTATTGTACCTGTCGTTCTCTCCTGTACAGGTGTGATACCACATACACTACACAAAAGCCTGGGAAGATTACAATTGAGTAGAAATACATACATCACACTACAGAAGGCCACTATATTGAATAC